TTTCCAGGTTTTCGTAGCACCACAATACGGGCGCTCCTCCATTTTTGGGGGTGGTATCCTAGCTCGATCGATGCTGCGAAGATCCTGGTGATGAGGTTCCCTAGGTGTTTCCACAGACGTTTCCAGATCAGCATTGGAAGGCTGTCTTCCCCTGGAGCTGACGAGCCTTTTGCTGATTTCAGAGAGCGGTAGACTTCGGTTACGGAGATCGGTTGCCACGGGAGTTCAGCAGAGGGTTCCGCGGAATATTCCTCTTCAGCGGGCGCCATAGGAGGGAAGAACGAGTCCATAAAGGCTTGCGCCTTCTCCTGGTTATCGGTCACCTCTCGGTCACCCACTTTGAGGGCAGGTATACAGCCCCAAGAGTCTCGTGGTTTCATGTATGTTGCCGCTTTCCATAGCTTTCCTTCGCCCGCCTCGTCAAGAAACTGTCTCCAATGTGAAGTCTTGGCTTTCTCAATTGTTCGCGTCCATGTCCGTCGCTTCTGGCGCATATCTTCGAAGAGTGCCATGGTGTAGGGGTCATCCAGCCCCGTTGTCGCGCAGCTCTCTTGCCATCTGCGCCGTGCATAGTTCACCTCTTTTTGTTGAGATTTCAACTCAGCGGTGAACCACCGCTTTGCGTAAGGAGACGGCCGGAGGTCCGGAGTATGTCGGTCGACCGCTCTTGCAGTTTCTTCTGTGAGCTTTTCTACCATAGCGTCAAGTGCCTCAATTGTGGTCGGGGTCTCCCAGGGTCTCATGAGTCTCCACACCTCCCATCCGATCTTTTCCCAATCGGCTCGATCGTATGCTTTTCTTGCCTTGACGGCGGGGTTACGCCGTGTTCGGAGCTTCCACTCCGAGTACGTTGCTCGATGGTCGGAACCATAGTTTTCGTGGTAGAGGTGGCATTTAATGAGTAGGTCGGGTCTGTCGGTCACGGTCTGGTCGATGGTGGAGTTTCGCCCGGGGTGGCTTAGCGACCAAAATGTCGCAGTGCCGCGGGGTAGGCAGTTTTGGAGGCCGTTGTCTTGGAAGAAGTCGATCAGCTCCCCTGCATCCTCGATGAACCGGGGTTGAATGTGGTTGCTGCCCCACGCTGGGTGGTGTCGGTTGAAATCTCCAGAGAGGATAAGGCAAGCGCTCCTGTTGTCGTCTTGGAGGGTGTTTTGTATCGTATCTTGGATAGTTGATAGTACCGTTGCCGCCGATGCTTCCTCAGGCGTATGCATTGGCACCGGCGGGATGTAAATTGAGAAGATTAGGATTTGGGTGTCGGCGGTCCAGACCTTGAGGGCGGTCAGGTCTGGGTGGTTGCATGGTAGCTGCCGGTGGGAGGACGTTGAGAGATTCCGGTTCACGTAGATGAGGCTTCGGAGTCGGACTGAGTCGCTTTCCACCGTCGGCCGGTAGAGCCGCCATGCACTGTGGTTCACATGTGTTCGGTATGCGGTGATAGGTGGCTCCTGGATGAGAAGCACGTCTAGGTTCTGACTCTGGTGATCGTTGATGAGGGCCTCCATTCCTGCTCTCGATTTCATCATGTTCAGCTGTAGGATTCGGAGATTGTTTTCTAACATTGTGGGGTAGGAGCGCTGGCAGGCTTCTGACATCGGGGGTCTCCGGTGGCGTGTTCACCACCGCAGTCTAGGCAGTGGGCTCTGATGCCTGGTGGGCATCGTGTTCGTTCATGCTGGCCGCCGCAGTGGCCGCAACGGGGGTCCTCCTTGCACGACCATGCGAGGTGGCCGAACCCTTGGCAGCGGAAGCACCGCTTCTTTTTGATTTCGAATTTCTCCACCCTCCCAACGCAGTGCTGGTCGATCACAAGGCCGTTGTCGAGCAACCATTGTGCCGCTTCCGCCGAGTCGAGCCAAATGCCCAAGGAGCCGAATGGCCCCAGCATTTTGTCTCGTTTCTTCAGCCAGGCGATATCTTCGATTCGGAACCCGCGCTCCTGGAGGTCGTTCTCTTCTGTAATCTTTCGGATGGCCCTTTCTTTGTCTTGCTCGAGGTTCAATCCTCCTGTTGGTACGTGGTGTACGACTGCCCCGAATCGTGGTTTGACCAGCTTAGTCTCGTTGCCTAGGTCGCGCAGCCATTCGTTGTTTTTACGCGCCGTTTCGGCTGACGCCGAGTCTTTGAATCGGATCACGTATCCAGTCTTCGTGGTGCCGATTCCTGCAACCTGTACGTCTTGGGTGGAGGGGTCGTTTAACAACGCCGATCTGATCCGGTTGTTCGCTGCGGGGATGGACATATATCGTCCGAATCCGTTCACTATTCCTTCCGTTTCGGCAGCATTGATGGGAGACTGTTGGGTACTGATTCGGACACAATTCTGGTCTTTGTCTGGGCGTTGGCTGCTTGGCTGAGGGTTCACATTGCCCGCACTAGCAGCTACGGCGGCCCACGACCGAGCCGAGGGCGTCGGCGGCGGACGGTCGAGTTGTGCCCGCAGAGCTTTGACCTCTTCATAGAGCTTTTGGTTCTGTTCCTGGAGGATATTCTGTCCACTTTTAACCTCCTGCAGCTCGGTTTTGGTTGATTCGATGAGCGTGGTTTGGCGATGGACGATGTCTTTCAGCTCGTCGATGAGTTTCCACACCTCCCGGGTGGTGACCCTACCGGTGCTCTCCTCGGATGCATAGCTCTCATTATGCCGTCCTCTCTTTCTTGTGGCTCGCGTTGGGATATTGGTCACCCTAGGCTGGAAATCCTCAACCGAAAAATTGGTCTCCTGGGTGTTTGTGGGAGTGGCCTCGGGAGGCCCCGCAGGTGGGTCCGCCATCGGTCCGGGGTTAGCTCCCGCTCGGTACACAAACAACAATTTCAGATCGCAATAGTATCAACCACGAGGAATCGGTTCCCCACGGTCGTCTCAGATCGCTCTTAACAGCTCAACAGCTCTTCCAGTTAGTACAGAGTAGTTTTTCAACAGCTACAGTCGTTCTCGAAATCGGCTTGACCAATGCACTCTTGGTATCTCTTCTCAGGACCCACCGCCAAGTCCCTAGCGTATATCATTTATTGAGCGGACTGCACTTAATTGAGGGTTATTGTAAAAAGCATTCTGTATCATCATGTATGGTATATTATACGCAAAAAAATATTACACAATGTGTACAGGAGTTTTATGGAAACCCATGGAACCCCGAAGTGGATCCTTCGAAATCCATTAGGTGGCTTCAATCTTCCTCGTTGAATCCCTTTCCCTCCCTCAATTCTAACGTAACCCGTAAGCGAGTGGCCATTGTAAGCGAGCGGCCACCCCCAAAACACCATAGTTAAGGCGATAAAATACAATATGATAACTAAACAACCATAGCTTATTATAAATTCTTACTAGAGATATAATCTCTTTACTATAAAAATAGCCTACTGGATAAGTACAAAATTTTTTCGAGATATTCTAATTGAGATATATATATTTGTAGCCAGAAGTGCGCTTATATGCCTGTATTTTTGGTAATCTAGTCAAAATGATCTCAGATTATTTCCAGATTGATATATGTTACTTTTTATCCCTATAATAGCCTCAATATATAATATTAATATCAATCAATCGCTGGTCGTTGAGTTATAGAGTTGGTGAATATCGCCTTAACTATGGTGTTTTGGGAGTGACCGCTCGCTTACAATGGCCACTCGCTTACGAGTTACGTTATGACTTTTTGATTACATCCGCCGAACCACTGTCTCGACCAGGGTTCTATTGTTTACGGGCGAACAATAGCCGTTTGGTAACCGATGGCGTAGGCCTCAACCAATAATCACTAACCATCAGTCTGTCATTACAATAGGCCTAGAAATGAGGCCCAGCACTCCCATTAGCCATGGTGGTGAGTGTGTTGAACTCAGTGAATCGTTTGATCCGTGGGACAATACATCACAATATGCACCGACACCTGGCAATTTCTATCGTTCACTTTCAACCCCGTCCGAAATAAGCCGTGTCGACCCTGCGGACCCCATCGATCACGCCTCTGCACAGCAAATCGCTCCTCAAAAGAACAGCCTTCCATTGCTCCAATTTGGTGAGGCGAACTCGATTCGAGATCCTTAGTGTAACAAGGCAGCCGGGGACGGTACTACGGCGGAACGCATACACATAACCTAGCGATCTTGGTGATACAAGGACTCGGTGATTCGAGTGAGCCAATAAGGAAGTGAGGAAGAAGTGAATAAAAAAGCAGTAGGAACGAAGCAGCTAGGGCTTCATAGACAGAGGTCTCAATAGTGCAGCGCCGTGGGGAGCTTTTCGATGAGGGCGCGGAGATCTCGGGGCAGCTTTCTACCCGTTCTTTCCGACTTTTCGTTATATTGCATTTCTACCTTCGTTTTCTAGCTTTCCTTTTGTCATGTTTACATTCTTGTTCCACGGTAGCAGAACTCCATGGTTATAGGTTCGAAACCGCGACAGGGTATACTAGGAACCACACTTTTCGGCGCAGGCCCGGCCACTCCCGTATAGTAGTTCAATATATAGAATTAGCTAAATCAGGTAAATGAATGAATGAATGAATCAATCAATCAATCATTTATGTTCCTCATTTCGACTCATCATAGACCCGTTACAGTTATATGATCCCTACCTTGACAGCCATTTCCATTTCCTAGGCGCAAAAATAAAAAAATAAAAAAAAATAAAAAAAATAAAAAAAGAAGAAGGGAGGGAGAGGAACAGACAGGAATGGGCAAGAATGAATTGTCAAAACCAAGGGAGACTTTCAGGAAAGAGATGAGCAGGATCGACAAACTGATGCTAAATTATCTAGAAGGTTCACGTAGGTAGGTTTATGAAGTGAGGCAGGTTACAAGAAGGGCTTGTTTGTATCGTCTATTTACCATGCTGAAAATAGATTGAGCGAAATATCCTAGAGCCAGGGGCGGCGTGGTATTGCTAAAGGCGATTTGCTAAAAAGCACTAGCTCGATGTACTTAATGTAGTCCTATACACTTATGTGCAACAAGGAGATATTACAACAGGGCACAAGGGTACTCCGGTATATCCCGGTCTAGGTGATATTCATCAGAACAGCCTTCATGCTAGAATACGCGTCCAACCCGGCCTGTCCAAGCTCCCTCCCAATTCCGCTCTGCTTCACACCCCCAAACGGCACCCGGAAGTCACTATTGTTGGTAGCGTTAACAGACACCATCCCGACCTTGAGTCTAGGCACAACGCGGTGGATCCTCGCGTTATCACGAGTACAGATAGCAGCTGCGAGACCGTAATCTGTATCGTTGGCCATTTGGATAACTTCATTCTCATCGCTGAATTTGACGAAGACACCGAACGGCCCGAAGATTTCTTCCCGGTACACGCGCATGTTGGGCTTGACATCACCCACAACAGTCGGCGCAATGAAGTAACCCTTGCTATTCGGTCTGTCATCTGCGACTGCACCACCCGAAACAATCGTCGCGCCTTCATCCTTTGCAGCCTGGACATACGCGAGGATCTTGTCGAACTGCTGTTTCGAAACCTGGGCTCCCTGGGACGTATTATCGTCGAATGGGTCGCCAATGATGTTGATCTTAGCAACATAGGCGACGAATGCATCCATGAACGAATCGTAGATCTTCTCGTGCACAAACACCCGAGACGTCGCCGTGCATATCTGGCCCATGTTCCCCATCACGCCAAAATGCGCCGCCTTGACGGCGCTTTCGAGCGGGGCGTCATCGAAGATCACCAGTGGGCTTTTGCCGCCCGTCTCCAAGGTGATGTTCTTCAAGGTCCGGCTGGCCAGCTTCATGATCTCCTTGCCAGTGGCTGTGCTTCCAGTGAAGGCGACCTTATCGACTGCGGGGTGCTGAACGAGTGTGGCGCCGGCTTCGGAACCATGGCCATTGATAATGTTAAGAACACCCGGAGGGAATCCTGCTTCCGCGACCAGATTGGCGAAATACAGAATTGACAGTGGAGTCTGCTCGGAAGCTTTGATGACAATCGTGTTACCGCAGGCCAGAGCTGGACCCAGCTTCCATGATGCCATTCCGATGGGATAGTTCCATCTACGACGCAAAAATCCGTCAGAAATGATATTCACATGCCCATGAATGCAGAGGGAGTTACATACGGAACAATTTGGCCACAAACACCGATTGGCTCGCGAATGGTGTACGTGAACTTTGCGCGAGACGTCTCGATGGTCTGACCATAGTGCTTGTCTGCCCAACCTGCATAGTAGCGCAAGACATTGTACACTTCCTCTATATCCCCCAGGGCTTTGCTATAGGGTTTTCCATTATCCAAGGCTTCAATGGTTGCCAGAACCTGCTCGTGACGCTGGACAATGTCGGCCAGCTTCACCATCAGTTGGCCACGGCTAGTACCATCCATGCCATACCAAGTCTCGCTCTCAAATGCTGCACGAGCTGCACGAACGGCTGAATCGACATCGTCTTCTGTCGCGGCATAGACTGAAACAATCTCCGACTCGGTTCTATCCTCAAAAGATTAGTTGTTGTGATTGGTGTTGGGATGGGCGTTTAGAAACTTACGTCGGATTGATAGAGACGATTTTCTGGCCGTTGCTGGACGTCGTCCATTTGTTGTTGATGAACAAACCGAGGGGCTGTTCATAGGCGACGCCATTCGGGGCGGTGATTTTCTGGACTAGATTTGACATTTTGATGAGGAGGGGGGCTGTGTAGAGGGGACTTTCAATGGCAGATAGAAGATGGACATAAATCTTGTCGGACTTGTAAAGCAGCTGAAAATACGCCTCGAGGAACTTGACCTCATGCATGAAAAAGGATCCATACAGCCAACCTTGTGCTCCACCTCTGATGCATGCTCCGGACGATCCAAAATTTCCGATCATTTCCTTGTCATTGACGTGTTCATACTACTAATTACATCCCACTTGGGCTGTGGATTTCCGCCAAGACACGGTCCAGATTCAATTAGACAAGAGACAAGAGAAACCATCAAAATTAATCACGGAAGTGTTTCACCGAAAACCCCGCCAACTGAGTCCCTGCATTGACATCCGTCGGCGATCGCGACCAGTTCGTCTTGATCCGCGCCCGCGTCCACTCCGGAGCAGGGACATCGATTTCATTGTTCTTGCCCTCCTGGTAGTACCCCAAGCGCCGGAGGAGGGGACTGTCAAAGCTCTTCAAAGTCAGTCGATCGCTAGGCCGCACAAAGTACAACAGACCCAAACGGTCTTGCATTTGCTGGTCCTTGGGAGGGACCGTGACGCGATGCACGCCACTCTTCAGATACCCGTTGGAGAGGATGGACAGCATATCGGCGATGTTGACAGACATAGTGCCTTCAGGAATCCGAATCCATTCCCAGGGGGAATCCTCGTATTTTTTCACCTGGAGGGCGGCGACCGGCTGTTGGAAAAGGAACGTAATCGTGCCGTTGTCAGTGTGGCCGCGCGAATAGAGGTCCTTGAACTGCTCGTTCACCTCCGCTGGACGGGCGCGGTACATCATGTAGCGGAGACCGCTGTCGCAATTCGACTCGTACCGATGACCGTCTGAGATCTGGTCTTCGGGGAGCTCGAGGATGATGGCGAGAAGCTGAAGCAATTTGTACCCGATGTGCTCGTGGACGTGGCGGTGGAACCGTTCGATCTCTTGCCAGCGCCGACGGAATACTTCAGGGTGGTCGCGCTCATACTGCGGCAAGAACTTCATGATGTTGTAGAACTCAATGTTGTCCCACAGACCCGGGAGGACTTGAATGGATCCCAGTGGCCGGTAGCCATTGTAGATGCCCTCTTCGAGGGGTGCTCGGTAGGACCTGCGTACGTCTTCCGGCAGGGCGAAGAATTCACGTCCGATCGCGTAGTGACGATTGATCTCGTCTTGACTGAGGCCGAAGTTGGTGACGTAGAAGAAACCTTTTCGGGTGAGTATCAACAGGGGACTTTACTAGTCGGCAAGGGCATCACCTACCCACGTTGTGCGCCGCGTCTTTCAACTGAGCCGCGAGTTTTTCTTTACCCCCAGGTTTATCGAATTCACCAAGATCGATAATGGCCAAGTCTGCATAGTTGACTATTTCACCATTATGTATGAGCCCCAAAGAAATACATACATCATCTAGACCAGGACTTACTGGGCTCCTTAGTCTCTGGTGGATGGACATAGAGCGGGAGGGGAGCAGACTGGGTCTGGATGGTTTGTGTCGCCATATTCGCGTTGAATGGTCCTGACTGGAAGGGCTGGTGAGAAGTAAAAGAGGTGTGCCCGATCGGAAACTATATGTCGTAACTGGGGGTGAAAATGTCGAACGAGGTAAATACCGACTAGTGGTATGAAGGAGGATGCAGATGTCATCAACACCCAAGGATCCTCAGCCAGCCACGGAGAAGTTATGCGGTCATTGCCAAGAAACAGGCACAGATGTGGACCAAAAGATTGTAAATTACAGTAGTGTCCTGACGTGCAAAGTGTGTCCATCGTTAAATGTCAGGATGTCGGATACGTGTATCATCTAGTATCGAGGGACGGCCAATTGATGCATGAGATGGATTAACGAGAGTGTGTCTGTGTGTTCCCGATCTGTTGAAAAATGATCCAGGGGCTATAAACTGCGTATTACATCACAGTTCTTCCGAGAATGACCCGAATTACCATACAATTACTATTGCAATGTGGGTGGATGCTGAATAACCAAGAGCAGTGGAGAATCCACAGTATTTTACCTCTCTCAGAGTTGACACACCCCCCAGCATCCGCTCTCATTGCTGAGGTTATTCCAACAAAGTGTGGATATCCTCCATTCCCAGTTGTTGCAGGAACTCGGTGTGTTTCTGTCGTGGGAGCTGCTTTGTTAGGCCGTCCGCGGCCATATCCTTTGTTTCCACCCATTCAACATGTATCCGGCCAGTTTGAACCTCCTGTCGAAGCCAGTGATGGTGTATGTCGACATGACGAAGCTTCGTACGTAAATGAGGTATTCCCCTGGTGAGTATACCAATCGTTTGCTGGTTATCGCAATTGATCGATAAAGGGTGTTCAGGATCAAAGCGGATGGATAAGAATAGGCGCTTCCACATTTCCATGGTCTTCGCGGCTTCCGAAATCGCTAGCAGCTCTGCTTCCGTGGTGCTAGTGGTAACCGTACGTTGCTTGCTGGCACGCCAATCAACCGCTCCACCAAACATCTTGCAGATATATCCTTCTGAGCTCTTCCTATCTCTGTTATCCGCAAATGATGCATCGCTGAAGAAGGATACTGCTTCAATGTCTCCATGTGGACGTGAGCGATACGTCAAAGCAAGAGAACGCGTGTGATATAGATAGGTAATGACCCTGTTGATGGCGTCAAGGTGCTCAGGTCCTGGATTTGTGAGGAATTGTGCAAGCGCAGAGGTTGCTTTTGCTGCATCTGGTCTGGTGATTGTGGTAGCATATTGCGTTGATCCAACTTTCTGCTGATACTCATGGATCTGCTGTCGAGTTGCTTCTCCTTCATATGGCTTCAGTGCCAGTGCTGAGGGCAGTGGGGTGTCAACTTTGCGGCCATTTGTGAGATGGTACCGGCTTGCCATAGAAGAGATATAAGAGTCCTGACAGAGCCAGAGTGCTTTCTCCTGCCGATCTCGAACAACTCGGATTCCAAGAAACCACGCTGCTTCTCCCATGTCACGTAGTTCCCACTGCTCATTAAGCTTCTGGCGCAGTTCCGTTGCGCGTGTGCGCTGGGCTGGATGGTTGACGATGATGATATCATCCACATAGAAGAAAACAATGATGCCGTTTGTGGAGAAGAGGCAGAGGTCTTCCTGTACAACTTGTAAGCCAAAAGAAGTCAGGACCTTAGAAGCTTCTTGTTGCCATAGCCTTGGAGACTTTCGTAAGCCATAGAGAGCTCGCTTGAGTTTCCAGCACTGCCTCTGTTCCTTGAAACCCTCTGGCATCTCAGTGATGATCTCCTCATCAATCCAACTATTAAGGAATGCATTGACAGCATCATACTGGTAAGTGTCAAGGTCAAAAGCAGCCACTAATGAGAAGACTGCTCGTGCAGTGCGTGCAGCGAGGGTTGCCGAGTATTTCTCCTCTGTGGTAAGTTTCTGGAGATCTCCTCGCACGCAGATTCTGGCCTTGAGCTTGCTGAGATAGCCATTGCTATCAACCTTATAGTTGAACACCCAACGGAGTGGTAGAATCTGTATGCTGTGGTCATTTGGTCGTTGTATGACCTCATATGTGCCTTTCCTGTTGATTGTCTGAATTTCAAGAGCACAAGCTGCCAGGAATCCCTCTCGGTAAGGATGGTTCATCATCTCCTTCCAGTTTCCTGGCTCTGGAGGTAACTCATCCTGATGCACTTGCGCGTGTGTGCGGGAGCTGTTTAATCCAGTAGCGAAGGCTGCGAGTACGCTATCCTCTTCCTTCTCAGAGATAGCTTGAAAGCTGACAAAGTTGTCATCCTCTCTTGTTCGTCGTTTTCTCGTTCCTCTCACAATGTTTCGTTCTGAAATGTCACCATCGATATCTCTAGGTGCTCTGGGAGTCTCCTGTGCGGGTGATGCAGCTGTGAGCTCATTTTGAAGCTGCTCAGCATGGTCATATGACTCCCGTGGCGGTGAGCTAGGGAATGTTCCTGGTGGAAGCGAAGGTGCCCGTTGCTGTGATGCTGATGGCGTTGGTGAAGGTGTAGCCATCTGTCGTCCCTCCTTCTGTTGCGAATTTGTTGCTTTTCCTGCTGAATGTCTTGCTGCTTGTTCATGCATGTTCTCAGCAGCGCTTTCTCTGCTTCCTGCTTCATTTGAGGAAAGAGGGACTATCTGGTGTTGTATCTCCTCTTCCTCATCCTGTTCAGTGATCCAAGGCATTGATTCAATTATATCGCTGACTGGTGGTTTGTCTAGTTCTCGTGGGTTGAAGAACTGGTTCTCATCAAAGACAACATCTCGCACTGCCCGTACAGCTCCTCTCTGTGGAAACCATACTCTCCAGATATTTGAGGCTTCATAGCCAACGAGATAACCGATCTCTGCGCGAGGCTCCATCTTCGCTGCATTCGGGATGCCCTGCTTGCGTACATACGCTCTGCATCCATAGATTCTGAGGTTGGCAAGGTTGACTCGTGGTGGTTGGTCTTGCTGGACATGAAGTGCTTCCTGGTATGGGACAATCCACTTTCCATCTCTCATCCTCGTGGGCGATCTGTTAACTATCCAAACAGCTGCTTTGACTGCTTCTGGCCACAGGTCTTTCGGAAGACCTGCATCCTGCAGTAGTGCGCGTGCTATAGTGACTATCACCCCCCCAGATCGCTCCGCGAAGCCATTTTGCTCTGGCGTTCCAACGACGCTATGCTCAACAACAAAGCCTTCCTCTGCTAGGAATTGCTCTACCGTACGACCTGCTGAACGCTCATTATCATAGCGAAAGGCTCGGATTGGTAGGTTCCACTGGGTCCTCACATATGCACAGAAGAGTGTCACAGCTTGCTGACAACCACTTTTCTTCTCGTGAGTGAATGCTGCATGGAATCGAATTCCATCCACATAGAAATGGGATAACCAGCGATCACCATTATAGGCAGGGTCAATTTGAACAAGGTCAAAGTGTATTCTCCCAAATTTCCCGTATGTGGCTCCCTGTGGTCTTCTTGATATCTGACGTTTCGCAGAGGTGATCTGACAGACCTCACATCGTTCAGGGTTACCATGAGAGTTGTCTTCACTCTTTCCATCAATTTTGACTCCATCCACCATCGCTGGCAACAGTTCAATCTTCTGGCTATATGCGTGGCCTAGCCGACGATGCCAGCGCCTGGCTGATGCTGCTGAAATGAGTGGCTTTTCTGACTGCTTGGTGGCAAAGGCTGCATCAGAAGAGCAGTATTCCATGAAGTATAATCCCTTTTCCTTTCGCACATGTAACACTGGACTGTCGCTGTTGTTGACAATGGCTTTCTTGCTAGGATTCCACCAATATCCTTTATCCTCAATCTTTGAATAGGATATCAGATTGGTATGGAAGCCCGGGGAATAATGAACATTGGTGAGCTCTACCACTTGAGGCTCGCCAGTTTGAGGGTCCTGGCCTACCATGTCCACAGTGCCATACCCTGTAGTAGCAGTCATAGTATCACCTGTTTTAACAGAGCTTTCCCCTTTGATGAACACTTTGAAACGCCCACGATCATTACAGATATGCAGGGTAGTGCCTGAATCAAGAATCCAGCGATTTCTCAGCGGTTTGGCCACCTGATGCTGACCAGTTGATGCTGCAGCTGCAATGAAGAAGCTAAGCTTCTCTTCTGATACTGCTAATTGAGCCTGCGCTGGTGGTGCTTCCTTCTTTTTCTCCATCAGCTGCTTGATCTTCTGTTGATCCTGAGGACTCATTTGCTTGATAGCATCAGTTAAGCGCTTCGCAATTCCTTCTCTTGGCTTCCAGTCGTCACTTCGCAGGGTCTCATCAATATACCAGCACTCCGAGTAGTGGTGTCGAGGGTATCCGCATGGGCACTTCGTTCGATAAGTCTTCTCTGTTTTCCCAGTTGGCTTTGCCTCTTTCTGACCATCCAGGGTTGCGAAGGCCATCTTCGGTTGCTTCTTTCCAGAAGTGAGTGCTAGATCTCCACGGCGGCTGCGATAATCGGCAATAACCTCATGAAACGTAGCAGTCGTGTTCATACGAAGCTCACGTCGCCATCCCGAGCAGAAGGTGTCATCTAGCCCCTGCACAGCATCTAGGAAGTCATGAATAGCATCATCTTTCTCAATACAGTCAGGAACCTTGGCAGCTTTTGCCTCCTCATATAAGCTTTCCCACTGTGTGAGCCACTGATCAATGCTAACATCTCTCGCAGGTTGCCTGATCATCAATCTCCACGCACGTCGGAGCTCCTGTCGTCGATTCTCAGGCTTTGGCTTGAATGTCTCCGCCAGTTTCAATAGCTTCTTCCTTGGAGTTTCCTCATCGACAATAAGATAGTGAAACTCAGTGGCTACTGAACGGGTAATAAGGCTATTCATGCGCGCCATAGCCTTAACAAGCCGCTGTCGCTTTGTTTCCTGCCGCTCATACAGCTGTATCTGCAACTGCCATCTCCTTAACTCATCATCAGTGAGATCCATGATATCCTTCTCTCTACCGCGATGGTCCACAGGCATCATAGGTTCCCGATGTGCGATTGGAAGCTGTTCAACTTCTTCGTCCGACTTCTCGAGGTCAAGATAATTCCACACATCTTCAGATATGGCTGCTGACCTGATATGTCCTATCCAGATCCTCCACTGCGATTCCGCCCGTAGTTTCTGATCGGGTGGGATCATTGCCATCTCCTCTCTTTGTGAATCGGCCATCCTGTCTTCTCTCGCGATGATACTGATACTGTGTTGATACTAGGTTCAAGGGTACGGGATTGCTGCGTTGAGCGCGGGGCGAGGTTCCAATTTCTCGCGTGATGCGTGCGTTCAGGGGTATCCCGATCGTGCGAATCGCTGCTGCAGTGCTGCCAGGGGTGGTACGCTCGCAGTTACACGTGTGCGGCGCGGCTAACCGGGCTCATAACTGTCAGGATGTCGGATACGTGTATCATCTAGTATCGAGGGACGGCCAATTGATGCATGAGATGGATTAACGAGAGTGTGTCTGTGTGTTCCCGATCTGTTGAAAAATGATCCAGGGGCTATAAACTGCGTATTACATCACAGTTCTTCCGAGAATGACCCGAATTACCATACAATTACTATTGCAATGTGGGTGGATGCTGAATAACCAAGAGCAGTGGAGAATCCACAGTATTTTACCTCTCTCAGAGTTGACATTAAAGCCAATCAAAATCAAGTCTCTGAGCCCTGAGTTTTGATTTTCATCGGGAATCCCATGTTTCACCGACCACCCGTGTGTATAATCCATACTTCAGCTGAAGCCAACACAGCCCGAAGCCCATTCCCAGGATCTTGCGTCAATACAAAACACGATGAGGGGCAAGGGAAGGGAATTGGGGAATCAAACATGTAGATCAACATTGAGTTCTGAAAAATTGTATTGAATCCTTCTTCCAAGCCCCCCTTGTCGACTGGTAAGTAGACTCCCTAGAGAAGACGGGCATAAATAGCTAGATCTAACAACAACAATCTCTGGCCAGTATCTTGTGACAAGAGCCATTATCTACAATTGGCAATGACTCGGGCTGGAGTCCAACCAACCGACGTTCGGTTTGTGTCCGGACTCTCGGGTTACTTTCACAAAGACCTCCAAGCTGTGAAACTGAGCCCCGAGTATAATCCTCTCGTTAATAACATCGCCGCTGTCACCCCAGGATTTGAAAAGGTCGTCCAGGCAGGCGAAGTCATTTCAATCCTGATTCGTCTCCCAAATGGCTCCGTGGCCATCGGTGACTGTGCCGATGTCATCTTCTCCGGGGCTGCGTCGCGCGACCCTTTATTCATACCGGCACAGCATCTCCCATTCTTGAACGACGTGATTCGACCTTGGCTTCTCCAATGCGACGTTTCCACGTTTCGTCCGAATGCCGTCGAAGTGGATGCGCCATGGCATGCTCTGGGGAACAAAAGGCTTCACACGGCCGTTAGATATGGCCTCACTCAAGCGCTGCTGTCAGCCACGGCTCTTTTCTGGCACTGCACCATCTCCGAGGTCATTTCTCGTGAGTGGATGCTGAATATCAGTACCCGCCCAGTAGGACTTCTTGCGTCCTGCCACCGCAACGATCAGCTGCAGCTGGACAGAATGATCATGAAACAAGTGGCACTTTTGCCTCATGCATCTTTTGTCCATGTGAATGATATCGGACCGAAAGGACAAGCCCTACTTGACTATGTACACTCGGTGTCAAAACGAATCCAAGAACGCGGGAACCCGAAGTACCGACCACGACTGCACTTTGATGTCTATGGCACGATCGGAGACGCTTTCACCGACAACAAGATCCCAGACTTCTTGCAGCTAGTTGAGCGCGCTGCGTATCCCTATGACATCCTCATTGAATCACCTATTGTCGCAGCCACCAAAGAAGCGCAAATCAAGCGTCTCCGCCAACTGAAGAAAAGCCTCCATACTCGAAACATAAACGTCAGAATTGTCGCGGACGAGTGGTGCAACACTCTCCAAGACATACGCGAATTTGCCGAAGCCAACGCGGTGGACTTTGTCCAAGTCAAGCTCCCGGACCTGGGGAGTCTGCATAATTCCATCGATGCGGCCATATACTGTCGATCGCAGAATATCGGATGCTGTCTTGGAGGATCTGCCAACGAAACCGACATCTCAGCTCGGATTACGGCCCAAGTCGCATTGGCAACGCAGCCAGACTTTCTCCTTTCAAAGCCGGGGATCGGGGCTGATGAAGGGGTGATGATCTTGACGAATGAAATGCTCCGAACGTTGGCGTTGGTGGAAAGATTCGATTGCGTTTCTAAGCAAAAGGATCATGAATCAGAGTCAACGCTGTTGGGGGTCCAGCCTAATAGAAACGGCGCACACCTGTGACAGGGTATGGTTGAATATGGTGGACTGGCATCAAGCTCTAAAGTTGAGCCTTATTGCTATTTCATACACGATTACGCTTTCAATATATTTGACTCCATCCAAGTCAACTCCGAACCTTGTCCATATAGTGCAACTCCAATGCCTATCTAAGCAGTAATAGTTCCCGGCCAAAATGAATGACGTATCACCGATCTCAATGAGACCAGCCAAGTACAGTGATGCGACATAAGTTTTTGCACCCCCCTAATAGACCCACCCACCTACCGCCTATACCGCTTTCCTAAAACGCGCTCCGCAGTAACACGCTATAATTCGCATTACGCGTATTACTTTTTAAATATAGCTTCTGTTATTATATCACTTACTTTTACCTCCTTCTACGCTCTTTCTACACTATAGCACGATCAAACGAGCTTACCCCAGCTATTCGCGAACGGATATGCGAGCTACACGTAATCGGATAGGGATATAAGTGTATCCACGGCCGATATCCCTATATTCCACTATCTACTATCCGATATACTGTTAAAAAGGAGCATAAACGACGATAGGGCGTCTCTAAGGCTCGATCTAGCCGGCTAAAAAAGCTTACTAAAGCCGATAAAGACCGGATTTTGAATACGATTTATAGAGACCTAAAGATCATATAATAAGACCTTCTTATAGAGGTCGATTATAAGGTTAAATATCGCATAATCTAATAGTTATTATAAGCCGTGAACTTACGAAAGTAGCACTATAGTTAGCGGCCTTATTTAACCGAGGAAACTGCTTTATAACGCCTTTGATAGGCGTTTTAATATCGATATTTTATACCTAAGGATTGGGCCTAAGTTTATTGGTCTGATAAGTATATAGTTAAGCGTGGGATCGGTGTTCGCCGAGAATAGTCTTTTATACGCCTAAAAGATTAGCTAAAAGCTAAATAATATTAAGGATTACTTTAACGTAGGAAGCAAGTAAAACAGATATTTTAGGCTACGTTTTTAGGCTCTAAACAGAGTACTAGATTGATTCCTCTTTTTAGAGATCTAAGATCTGAATAAGGCAGTATAAATCGCTTTATTATTAAGGAATTATATCGCCGGATCTTACCCATTTTAATAACGAACGAAGATAGCATTTTTTCGCACGATAACGCGCTAATATATACTGTATATATTATTCGAGAGGCTATTACTAAGATGAATATCGAGGTTATAGAATAGCCACCTTATTCGCCTAATTTGAACCCAATTAAGAACCTTTAGGCGTTATTAAAGGGTAAGATATACGAAATTCGACCTGATCTTATCTATATAAGGAATAACGACGAAACAAAGGAGATTTTGATGGATACTACGCAGCAAGTATGGGACTAACTGGAAATAAGGCATCTACAGCACCTATCAGAAACAATGCCCTATCGTGTGGAGGCTATTATTGAGTCTCAAGGCTGGTATACCCCTTATTAGCTATATTGAATCAATTTTGTGGAGGTTTTGGACCGGCAGAATATTAGATAATCTAGGTGGTGTGGGGCTAGGGGGTGCAAAAACTTATGTCGCGTCACTGTACATTGGAACTTCTGCTCATTACCCAAAAACTCGTAATTCTGTATTAGCTTCCCACTAGGAAGGTGGCGTGGCGGGGTAAAGAGAGAGAGAGAGAGCAGCGCAGATGAATGATGCGATGCATAAAGTGGGTAATAAGCCTTGTCAGTGCTGATCGCTAATGGATACAGCGCTAACTTGAGGCCTATCATCGGTTTATTTAGATTGAGAATCCTAGCCTGTCCTCGGAACTACCTCGACTCAATATCTGCCGCAGGGCACGATTTTTTGTTTCAAATTGGCAAGTGGGTGGAGGAGTGACTGGGGCTAATGCAACGGAGCTAGCATGGCATAAACTTCCATGAGATGCAGATCGGCCCCTTTACACGTCATGCACTAATGCATGTACGAAGTGGGCCTGTACAAAGTACATAAATGTAGGAACAATTTGAGGAGTCGTATCATTACAACAGCTCCACGACTATACTCCCTACCTACCTAGTGTAGTGAGGGATCAGCTGATCTGATGTGATGCCTAAGAAATAGGGCTCCGTAACTTCGGTACGATGGATTTGGCTTCGCGCGGCATCAGATAGAATATCCAACTACCCTTCACATTCTGGTTCAAGAAGCAGATGTTTACCATTCGGTTTTATACCACCATGCATGCTGCATACTAGGTCGACATCATGAGCCCTCCCTGCCGCCAACCGTGCTACCTTGGTATGACATGGTGCGGTGTTTGGCTGCTCCCTCTCGTCCAGTCTGTTCCGCAGACCGCCATCGCGCATCCCTCTCTTCACTAGGTAGGTATTCTGGCTAGGAATTCCACCATATATGTCCTCCCAAGGAAGCTGATACATACCCAGATAGCCCTGCCGTTATTTGAGAATTCAGAATTACATATAAGCGAGATTTATACATATTGTTACCATACAGCCCCCTGCAGTTTGGCCCAGAAAACAGTGGAGATGTGGGCATCTGGACCCTCACGGATGGGTTTGATGTAGGATTATCCATCTCCTCGAGCGGGACTAGGTACGTGCGATATGCAACGTAATATATCTCCACAAATACTGTCTAGGACCCAAGGATTTGTTGTCGAGGACTAAGCGAAAGGCGGGCCCGACCCAGAATATTACGGAATACAATAAGAGGCACAGGAAGAAATCTCTCAGCGTCTGCGGTTGCCCAAATCCACCTTCGCCCTCCTCTTCCTTACCACAACCGAACCGTTGAATCCATCATGGCCATCATTACTGCAGCCAAGGCACGCGAGGATTTATTCACCAAAGAAACCCTGGGAAAATTCAGCGGCGACGTGTATTTCCACCCCCTGCACAAAGACGAGCATGTATCAATTCTCGACGTCCAATTCGCCCCATGTGCCCGGACACACTGGCACAATCATGAGAAAGGCCAGCTCCTGGAAATCACCACTGGCTCGGGCTGGGTCTGTGACAAAGGACAAGAGCCCCGGAAAGTGGAAGCGGGCGATATCGTGTGGTGCCCCCCTGGTACGGTCCATTGGCACGGAGCGGGTGACGGCGGGTCCATGATTCATCGTGCTATTTCATTTGGGGGCATGGAATGGTATAATCCAGTCTCGGCGGATGATTTGAAGGGCGTCAATTAAGATCCTGTAATTACATACAATCAGTTGATCCGGTGTATATGTACACCGTCCTGATGAATGCCCTGAAACGAACGAAGTGAGAGGAAGGAAACGTCCCGCACGTGACAAAAAACTGCCCTGAAACGAACGAAGTGAGAGTAAGGGGAAACGAATGCCCTGAAACGAACGAAGTGAGAGTGCCCTGAAACGAACGAAGTGAGAGTAAGGGGAAACGAATGCACGTGACACGAACTATATATTTTTTCATATTTTCGCGACTCAACAGACTGCCAAAAGTCCATACAAAATCGTGGCGAAAATGGACCGAAATCGCGATGATTGGCTCGCCGTGCTTCGGTATCATTGGACGAAGGCTTGAGTGCTATTGGACAAAGGCTTCCAATGATATTGGACGCATGCTTCCAGTGATATTGGACGCATGCTTCCAGTGATATTGGACGCATGCTTCCAGTGATATTGGACGCATGCTTCCAGTGATATTGGACAATAATTATACCGGAAACGACTCTAGTTTTCCGTTCTTTGTCCAATCCGCTCCCCTGCTGGCGTTTTTGTAGCTTTTCAGTGTTGTTGCTCACTCTGACTCCATCCGCACCATTGGGTTTTTGCTGCTATTTTCGTTTCGGGGATGGCGTTCGCGCTAACATCACTGAAAGGATTCTTATTGGGTTCGGCTTCGCGTTTCCCGAACTTTAACACATGCTAGCACCCATGCAGCCCCCTTTCGTCGTGGACCTCGTATCCGGACCGTTGTCTACGTTCTTGGCCCAACATTGTCGACATCATCATTCTCTTTTAGTAAAGATATTCTGGCCTTATTATTGGTGTTGTGATCATGCGCTCTGCACTTTTACTTTCCCAAGCCTTCTCGCTCGCTATATACGATCAAATCTCTCCGTGTGGCTTGGAAATAATACTGTACGTTTCATTGCATTGCAACCTTGTATCAATTTGATATCCAGACACTAGATGTTCTTTACACATATATTTCATATCTCTGTGAAAGTCTTGAATGCCACTTCTTGTTGTCCATCACCCTTCGGACTTGCACTATCTCGGTCTTTATTCCCTCCCAGATCGTTGCCCTTATGCCGCCTCAGGTTAACTCGCCCGCTATTCTTCACTTGAGGGACTTCATAGACAGCGTGGGACCCGACCCATCTCGGCCCAGCCAGGGACTTGCTCTACAAATTGAGGCGTCCTTACATCTTCCTTTCCAACCGGATCTCTACTCAGACGATGTTGAATTGAATGAGCTTCCGACTACCATACATTTCTTTGCCTCGCCGCGTAACCCTCAATCTTACGAACCCAACAAATTCATCTATGCTTGGGGCTCGTTCTTAACCTGTGTCGACCCGGAAGGGTCTCTACGTTTGATTTTACACGCCCATGAGGTTGACTGGTGAGATCCCGTATCACAACGCCACCCTTGCCTCCCCACCGCTGAAGGTTTCCTTAGCCATCCTGGTGACCATTCTGATCCTCATGCATACAATATGCACTGCCCAGAGGCCGCTCTCCCTACAGTTAGCTTACTGGGAATAGTCCGAGGCGGAGGGGGGGCAGTTGAACAATGGGTCTAATCTATTGCATTACGACCTCGAGGCTAATGTCTATGACGTCTCCAACAAAGCGTCTGGGACATTTACGGTTTCTATTTACTTCAGGAACGGAAACCGTTGGACAAAATTTCCCGTCCTTTCTAGGCAATCTCGCATATTTATTACGGGGAGAATTTCGGCATCACTACCAACACGCCTCGGCTCGCAATTGGCGTGGATGATGTTTTTTTTATTCCAAATCTCAGCTTCATTACTACAGCTCCAGTGACCCCTACCTCATCGGTGGGAAAGCAGAAACAAGCAAATAGATGGAACAGTCGTGCCAACTCAGCTACTCCAACAAAGAGACCTCGCACGCTGACCTCGACTTCTGATTCCCAACCACAAGACGACGATGTCCAGACTTGTCACTTTAGTGACCCTCGCCTTCTGATAGAATATGAGCTCTGCGAAGAACCCATCGGTAAGGATACAACTGCTGACCAACCGACTCGCCTGGAAGACGGTTCGTCGGCTGACACAATCCTTCCGGGCCGTCGACCCAAGAGAAGTCGTAAATTTTCGAAGACAAATTCACTTTTATAACGAGCTCATGTATCGCGTGAACTATCTCCTTTTTATGCATGCCCCGCTCTTCTCAATTCATTTTGACTTTATGGATATATTTTCGCTCGCGTGCTCGTCCAATCATCACTCCCTACGCAAAACTTTGCTACGTCACTCAGTCTGTATATAATTGGCTAGTCCTAGCAGGCATACGTGTGTACCTTTCCGGTGGGTTATCAAAACTAATCGTTCGACTTCCATATATCATTCCTCAACTTATGATTCACCTTTCGTGCTTGTTTCGTTTCAGGGCCACAGCGTGCAACAGCGCGCGTCACCAGTTTGTAGATTCATTGCCTAATCCATAATGCCATAAAAAGACAGGGCTTTCTTGATTTATCCGCGCTCCCATTGGTCCAGAGTGCGTGCCCGGAAGACCCACACCCCATCAAATTCGCGAAATCCGCAACCGCCGACCGCAGCGACCCTGCCAGGCACAGTCATAGACTATTCACGATTTATTCGATGCAAGAACATGAATGGGTGGAAATCTAGTGTTGAGTATCACGGTGGCTGAACCTTATGGCAGGGATTGGGAACAGATATATATGAGGCACCTGGCCCCTGTAATAGATTACTCCTTAAGTCAATCAATAAGATTCAATCAGACAATCACATATCTCAACAAAAACTGCGAATAATATTCGCAGTGTTCGTGTGTTGCGAATACGAATAACGAATAATACCTGTTGAGATATGTGATTGTCTGATTGAATCTTATTGATTGACTTAAGGAGTGATCTATTACAGGGGCCAGATGCCTCTTATATATCTGTTCCCAATCCCTGCCATAAGGTTCAGCCACCGTGATACTCAACACTCCCACTCGATGGCAACCACCGTCAAGAGTGCCAGCGACTATCCATCACGGTTGTGAAGGGCCCCGTTAAAACCTTCAAAAACCCTTTAAAGGGAAAAAAAAAAAAAAGGAAAGGGTACCCATGAGACCTGGTCTCTGGCCAAGATCCGTCTATCGGGAGGTGTCACTCGATGCCAAGCCCTCTCCGAAACCATTCAAATCGTCCTCGCGCAAGAGGCTTCGTGAACCCATCAGCAACTTGCTCAGTAGTTGTAATGTATTTCAGCTCCACTGTTTCAAGGTCTTGGACCTCCCCTTGCCACTTGCGTTGGATTTCCATGTGCTTCGTGCGGGAATGGTATTGCGGGTTCGAGGACAGGGCGATGGCTCCTTGGTTGTCACCATAGATAATCGTTGCGGTTTTTCCTTGGCTCATGTTCAACTCATTGAGGAGTCTTCTCAACCAGATTGCTTCTTTGGTTGCTTGTGTCTGGCCAAGAAATTCAGCTTCACAGGTCGAGAGGGCAACGACACTTTGACGCTTTGATTGCCAACTGATTGCTCCACTCCCGAGGTTGAAGAGATATCCAGCTGTTGACCGTCTGGTGTCGCGGCATCCACCCCAGTCTGCGTCTGTAAAGCCTTTCAGCATCTGGTGATGACCCTTGTACGTGAGCCTGAGGTTTTTCGTGCCGTTGAGATATCGCAGGATGCGTCGAGCGAGTTTCATGTGTTGTGGTCCAGGATTTGCTAGATACCTGCTCGCCACAGAGACGGCATACGCGACGTCCCCCCTGGTTCCAAGCATAATATACATCAGAGATCCGACAAGGCGTTGGTAGGTGGTCCTTTGATCTGGAGGGCATCTGTATTCTGGACTATTCTCTGGAAGTGGCGAGGTTTCTATCGGTGTGCTGACGGGAGCGCCGTTGCTGATTCCGAACTGACGAGCGACCTTGTCAATATACGCTTCTTGACTTAGGTACAGTATCCTGTTTTGACGGTCTCGCTGGGCGGACATCCCGAGATAGTAGCTGCATGGTCCGAGATCTGTCATTTGAAAACGGTTTCTGAGGTTTCGCTTGATCTTCTTTATTTCCGCAATGCTTGGTCCCACGATCAGGAGGTCATCGACGTACACGGCGATGTACATGTTGCTCCGGACGAAGATCCCAAGATCAGCGCTGATTGGCTCGAAGCCAAGATTCCGTAGGAAATTTGTAAGTGTCTGATACCAGATCCGAGGAGCCTGCTTTAAGCCATAGAGTGCCTTTCGAAGTTTGCAGACCCTGGATGTACCGTCGGTCATGTGGTGAGGCTGTTCGACGTAGATCTCGTGGTCTATGTAGCCGTAAAGAAACGCCGTTTTGACATCCATTTGCTCGATCTCTAAATCCAGGGCCGCCGCGATTGCGAAGAGAGCTTTATAGCTCATTGGCTTGACAACCGAGGCAAAAGTTTCGTCATAGTCAATACCCTCTTCTTGTGTAAAGCCTCTCACTACCCATCGACTTTTGTGACGGATAACTTCGCCATGCGGTCCTCGCTTGAGTTTGTAGACCCATTTTCCGCTGAGAATCCGGCGATCTTTGGGAGGATCAACAAGCTCCCACGTTTTGTTTTGGTTGAGTGAGTTCACTTCGTCAAGCATTGCTCTTTCCCATTCAAGCCAGCTTGCGTCGTTCTTTGCTTGTTGAGGAGTCTTTGGCTCAAAAGGTTCTGTTTCCTCTGCAGCCAGGGTTAAGAACGTTGGGATGACATTCCCGTCAGGTATACTCATTAACGCAAGCTCATCTTCGCTATCACTAAAAGTATCTAGTGTGACCTGCGGAGCGCGAATTGTGAGTTCAGGGTGGTGTTCTAGTGCTTCTTGTCGCACTTCATGAACTGGGCGGTCAAGTTGGAGTTCTGGATATCGTTGCCATTCTCCTGAAACTAGACCTTGTTGAGCGTCGTCTTGTTGCTGGTCGCCGCCGGGTGGCGAGTCATTCCTTTGGCTGATGTCTTGTAAATCATCTGCAAATGGTCCAAAGGTATCATCGATCCGTGTAGGCGACAAGGTCCTGTCTCCCTGTGCAGCAACAGGTGGCTGCGAGTCATCGTCACTCGATTGAGACGACGCTGGTGTCTGCGAGTCTTCGTCACTCGACTGGGTTAGCACTCGTGAGTTATCGTTACTCGATCGAGGCAGTATGTGCGAGATATCTTTCCTCGACTTAGGTAGGGCTCGCTCTGGCGGTGCCATCGACAATTGGCGCCCAGAGGCGGGCACGGATGCTTGCCGTATGCCTACCGACGGTTGATTTAATAGTCCCACCGTCTCACTCCCCCCTGCGGCAGCAGCCATTGCCTCAGGTGAGCCGTCTCGTCTGGCTCCCACATCTTCTATAGTCTGTGTGGAAGGAGCTGTAAGGACTTCGTGAAATTCAGCATTTGGGGTCCCAACGATTCTTCCGTCTTCCAGCAGGATACGGTAGTTGGTATTTCCCTCATAGCCTAGCAGAATGCATGGCCTGGTTCTTGGCTCTGTGAGCTTCTTCCTCTGCTTGGGTGGGATCAAGTATTCCCCTTTGGATCCGATCACTCTGAGTCGTGATAGGTCCGGCTTGTCGCCATACCAAGCTTGATACGGAGTCATGTTGATCTTTGATGACGGCGACCGGTTGGAGAGGAAGGCTGCGGTTCGAGCAATTTCTGGCCAGAATTTTGGTGGTAGTCTCGCATGTGCTAGTGTGGGCCCAACTCGATCATAAATTGTCTTATGGGCTCTCTCGGCAACCCCATTCTGCTGGTGCTGATCAACGCCCGTGACCTCGGCATGGATTGCCCGTGAGAACAGTATGAACTTCATCTCTTCTCCCACTTGCTCAGGGATTCGGTCGAGGCGTATTCGTCTACATTTTCGTTCAGGGCGTTCGTTATTATCAAGAAAGAATCGAAGTGATTCCACAACAAATTCTTGTCGTCGTGGTATAGGGATAACCTCAATCCACCCCGTGAAGTCGTCGACGATGGTGAGCCAATAGCGACTGCCATCAAGACCCTCGTCAAATGGTCCTGCGACGTCAATGTGAAGTAATTCCATGGCATATTCCCCTCTTCTGCTCCGCCCTGACCGGTTGTGGGGCCTTTCAATCATTCGTCCCTGGAGGCATGGGTTGCATGGCTGACGTGGTTCCATATCCCGGATGCCGTGCGCCTGCTTCTTAAGCCGCTGTAGGTTCCCATCGCTCAAGTGAGCTAGCCGGCTATGCCAAGAGTCATTTGTGGACTGACATGGTAGGAGGGAAAGGTGAGATTTGTCCATAAATTGAGTGCGTAGACCCCATGATACTGACTGGCAGTGTATAGGTTCTTTCCACTTGACTTGTTGCGAATACTAGCACTTCGACTTGAGAATTCGACTTTTGCTCCTCGTTTGAGAAGCTGGAGCACCGATACGAGGTTTGCGTGTGCAGATAGGACGTAAAGGACATTATCAAGCACAAGCCATTTTCTTCTGCCTCGTACATTGCATAGAACATTGATTGTTCCCACTCCTGAGGGAGTCGTGGAAGTATCGACGCTTCTCAGCGGTGGTCCATGGTACTTGTCCATCTGTACGAATCTCGAGACGTTATTGCAGACGTGTTGAGCACATCCACTATCGACGATCCACGCGTCACGGATCGACAAGGTTTTTGTAGCCATCATTGTTGGTATGTGGTCGAAGAAGGCGAAATTACCTTCAACGTCCCTTCCGAATACTTTATTAACATCTTCTCCGGAGGTTTTGTCGCCATGAAGGTGGGCTTCTTTGGATCCTTCGGGCCACCGACATCATCATCATCGTCGTCGTCATCCGAGGGCCGACGCTTCAACGGCTTGCGTGCGCCTGTATGTGAATTGCCTGGCTTTGACTTGTGGTTCTTTCCGTCTTTCTTCTGATCTCTCGGTCTGGGGTTCTTGCTGAAGCACTCAGAGTCCACGTGGTAGGGTTTCCGGCAGAAGGAGCAATATGGGACGTTATCGATCTCGATTCGACATGTCGTTCCGTCGGATGCTGGTATAACTTTCTTGTCACCTGGCCCTCGGATTATAGCGAGAGCAGGAAGCGCTTGCGCCTCGGTTGATTGTTTGCTCAATTGTCCCTTCCTATGTTCTTCCTCAATTGCCTTGTTCTCGATGTAGTCGAACGTGGGCGCCGCTTTCGTGATGTTACCATTGGCATCTCTTTCATTAACAAGGTCCATTTGCCGAAATATATGATCACGGAAACTTTCATACTCATGGCCTAATGCGTGCATGAAAAAGAATGTTCGCTCAATCTCCGAGGTCACACAGTCAGGGTCAAGGAGAAGTTTCTCAGCATGGATCGTCCTGATCTCGGCTCCGAGGGCTTGAGCGCTTCCGCATTTCTCTCTTGTGAGTGACATGTACCGTCGCTGGAGGTTAACGTATGTGCCAGTGCCTTCTGGTTTGAAGTTGTCTTTAACCGCCTTTAAGAGTGCGTGGACTCGAGAGATCTCAAAGGCGTTGATCCTTTGTGCCGCATTGTGGGTCAGCTTTGCCGTGATCATCGCAGAGTAGAACTTTTGGCGATGAGTCCATTGCCGTGCTTCTTCTTCTTCTATCGGTGGAGTCGTTTCATCATCGGCGACGGCAGATATCCGAATGAACTCATTGACCTTCTGATTCCACTTAAACCAGTCACTGGCATTATCCAGTGTTGGGATGCCATTGTAGAATGTATTCAATCCAAATTGCTCAAATTTCGCGATGTCAGTCATGGTATAGATGGACGCTCCTCTGAGCTGAAGAATTCTGCGCTGGAGATGTCGTCGGATAAACTAGAAATATCCGAGGAACCACGATCTGATGAGTTGAGGGAACGCGTTTCTAAGCCAAAGAGCTCTAGGCTTGATGCGACACTAGGCGGGCTCGAGACGACGGAAGGGCTACGGTCCGATGAGTCTGGCGTAGGTGTGTGGGACAACGGGACGTAGTCTCTGTCTGGCAGCCCGTGCAGGTTCAGGTGGTACCTGTACGACTTGGAGAAGTGAGGGAAACGGCGCCGGTCAACTAGATATCGCGGTTTCCTTTGCGGGAAGGTTGTACGTCTGTTTGGCCGAAGGTTGTAGCGATGTGCATTGCTGCTTTGGGCTACAGGTTCGTCTCCAGTAGCAGAACTTGGCGAAGGTAAGATCGAGGTCTCAGTGCTGCCTTTCGCCTGGGAGAATGGACAAGAAATAGGATGATGAGGATAACTTGGTTCCTGTTCAAGGCCAGGACGCGTAGATTGAGCGTTGGGGTCACTGCAAGAGTCTCTTGTAGTATTGCGAGGGGTGGTGATTGGAGCAGCGCCCTTTGATGCTCGGCGTACGCGGTCTTCAGTGGATAGGCGCCAGTAGGCTCCTAAGAGTGCGCTTGGCGAAAGTGAAGGGAAATATGACTTCTGGATTTGTTTGAAGCCCCAGCGATGAAGATATCGAAGGTGCGAAAGAAGATTCAGCTCCTCGTCGGTCCACTTGTGTCTGCTTTGTCGTTTAGTGCTTCTCCTTGGAGGTTGAGATGACCCTTTTTGAGATCGAGACGGTAACCGCGAGGAAGCAGATCTTGAGCTCGCTGCAGAAGGTGACATTGTTTCATCTGCTCTTATGTTTGTGCAATAAGGTTGCGTCGACAGCCACTAAATGAGGGGTTCAATTCCCTTCCATCTTGGTGTTGTTTCACTTGACGAATCACAGAGGGCGTCACTGTGATATCTTGTGACGATGTGATATCTGCGATAGTGATAGTGTGATAGTGTGATGATGGTGTGATGCCTGGGATTCTCTAGTAGAGGAAAGTCCATCCACTTCATCTCATCCAGAGAGTTTGAACTCTTGATTTCGATACTCTTTCACCATGTTACTGAATCAATGTGGTCAGATCCTTGAATTGATCAAGTTTTTCACTTAATAGGGAAGCTTAGCTGTAGATGGCTGTCAAAAGGCTGTCGGTTTGAATTTCTGCTGCCTAATTGCGCCCAAGGTTGCGCCACCCGGGCTCATAACCAGTTGAGATATGTGATTGTCTGATTGAATCTTATTGATTGACTTAAGGAGTGATCTATTACAGGGGCCAGATGCCTCTTATATATCTGTTCCCAATCCCTGCCATAAGGTTCAGCCACCGTGATACTCAACAATACCGATTCCTGCGAATATTCGTATTCGCAACAGCCCTATGGGGTGCGCGACTGCGCAACTCGTGTGGGAATGCGCGAGGCTCGCCGGAAATTAACCCATTTTGTCCTTGTCTTGCAGTGCTGTTCTGGATCACTTCGCGGTGAATCTACTGCGAGCCCTAAGGTTGGCACCGAAGTAATACAGGGCAAAGATACCCCCGATGCAGCCGACCGCCAAACCGGCCAACAGACTGACACCTGGACCAACACCCAAGTTGATGTAGAGAGGCCGACCAAACAGAATGGCCGCGCAAGCGAACGCACTCCTCATGAAGTCGTTCCCTGCGAACAGACTTGCAGCGTATTGCGGATAGGTCATCGGGATGTAGATGAAAATACACTGGACGACCAGGAAGATGCCGATAGTGAAGATGGTGATCCCGATGACTGACACAATCCAGTGGATTTCTAGGCGCGCAGTCCAACCGAAGATAAACAGACCGATCGGCGGCAGGAATGAGGCAGCGAGAGCGGGGATCAGTCGTCGCTCCGGCGCCAGGAGGCCTTTCATTTTGATCTCAGGCTCGAAGACTTTGCGCAGATACAGAAAGTACAGCGGCACGGCAATGGCCAACGCCACGACAATGCAGAGGAAGACGAGGCCCATTTGGCCGAAGTTGAAGCCATATATATCGATGTAGACAATCGGGAATGCCTCGAAGAAGGAGTAGTAGGTTCCGTAAACCAAGCTGGTGTACAGGTTCACGAAGAGCATGGCAGGGTCAAGAACGACGATCTGGATTGGTCGGTATAAAGCAGCCACAGCAACGGCGGAAACGGTGAGCTTCTTCTGGTCAATTTCAGATTGCGACCTGAGTTTGTCATTCCCTGTGAGCTTTCGCAAACGCTCGGCCCTGTTCAAGAGGATAGTATCGGGCGAAGTCTCGGGTAGGAAAAAGAGCATGGCCAAGAAGACCGGTCCGGCCATCCAGAGGATTTCCCACAGCGACCACCGCCAATTCTCTGCAGGCACGCTAAATCCAGAGACCACGGGTCCCAAGGCCGGTCCTAGGGTCGCAGATACAGCCCAGATGGCGATGCTATACGGCAGCTGGAGGAAATCGTATAAATCACTGAGACTGGCACCTCCTGTCGCCAGGCAAGGGCTGCCGAAAAAGCCCTGGAGAAACCGCAACACCAGAAGTCCGGGGAAGTTATCCACAAGGGCGGTAGGGACACCGAGAATGACAAATAAGCCAAAGGTGAGAATGTATGGTGGGTTTCGACCGATACTGGGAATTTCACTGAGTGGCGAGAAGATTACTGGCCCGGTACCGTCTAGGCAATATTGTCAGTTACTCAAACTCTACGAACAGTGGACTCTCCGGGTTACTCACATCCAAGAACATACAGAGCCAGACCCAACGATGCAGCAGCAGCAGAGACACCGAACTTCTCTTCAACAGCCGGGGTACTGGGAGTATATATAGAAGAACCCGTATACACCGCAAGCGTATATAAGCTACGAAATGTCAGCGCTGCTTGGTTTTGGGGGGTATGATGCATATAATGCGATACAAGCCTTACTTGATCAGTGAAGCAACAAAAATCTTCTTACCACTGGACCAATTTCGGGGGTTTTCTGGATCATCTGTAGAATACCAGTCCACCAAAATTGTTCCATCTGAAGCCTTTGTTGCTGCGATTGGCCGGCTAGGAGTATGCTTCAGTTCGTCCTTTTGCGCGGCCGCGGTACAAAGCCTCTCGACGTCTAACTGAGTATGGACTCTCTCAAGGTCTGATCTCGTGGTGATCTTGGATATTGTGTTGGATTCTGAAGCTTGGGATGAGTTTCGCCGACCCATCAATTCGTCGTCGGGAGCTGTGTCGACGCGGCTCTGTAACGATACCTCCGGGGCAGCATAGCAGACCGGAAGCTGGAAGTCGTCTCTTTCTTCGGGGTATTTCAGGATCCTCTTTCCTGTGACCACTCTCAGGAACTTTCCTGCATAGCTCGTTCGAACGATGCGTTCCATGGCGAGAACGTTTGAACAGGAGTCCTGCTTTAGATAGTAGAAGAGTCTGACTGCACGTGAATAACTTTTTCGCAGATCAATCACAGACCTCCGAGGTGAAATAATCCCTCTTTATAATATTCGCTGCGGGGAGAGTTAAGCAGTTAAAGCAGCCAAATCACCAGAAGACTTGACTTTCAAGGCCCACATTAACTTTGATTAAGCTTTGTGGGTCTGCACACGGCGTGATATTCTAATCACGCCGTGACCAATGATCATGCTGAAATTAATGCGTTAAACACTGACTTTCGCTATAGTTGATGGTAAATAGTTCTGTAAAATACTCAAGATAGATCAACATAAGCACTCAGCTAGTACTATTCTTAAATTTTACCAAGTTCATGAGTTCATGAGTTCATGTTAATTAGTAGGTTGTTACAGCCACAAGCACTATTGTAGGGACCGAGCTGTTTGTCGGGTGTCAAACCGTATTGCTCTGGCTGTATCTGGAAACAATTCAAAGGGTACGAACTTTATTTTTAACCTTATTTTTTTTCTTCGCCAGTTCGAAAGTTGAGGCTGCGATCATTTGTCAGCAGTCATGACAAATTGCAACGGTGATAACGTCGTTCCCGACCGAGCAAGCCCCCCGACTGAGCGCTACCATCATTTGTCAGCAGTCATGATGAACTTGCAACGATAACGACGCCGTTCCCGGCCGAGAAAGCCACCTGAGCCACCCGACTGAGTGAGGTGGTTGAAGGTCAGCCGTGGTCTCGAGTGTCCCTTATCACACCATATGCAACACTAAGGTCGACCACGCGTAGATCTCTTCAAAATACCAGAATTTTCGTCTACAGATTCAAACAAAATGTCTGGCAAGTAGTGAATTTGCTGTAGCTGAACATAATGCGGAGAGATCTCAGATAAGCCCGGGGGTTGGAAAGTTGATCGATTTCGTTCACGGGCGCTATCTAGGCGACTTGGTTTGGGAAGACCGGAGATAAGGCACTAATTCTGACGACAACGAGAACTCCCGGATTTAAGGGATACACAAGATACACTCTATCGTAGTTGACGACCCGGTCCCAGCGATATGACTGTTCTCGGAGGATCAATGAGCCCGGGTGAATAGATGTATGAATAATCAATCTAAGTGAGGCTTTTTTGACCTTAAAACGGCGTCGCATCTACATATTTGAGCCAATCGCACAGGGCGCTACGCCACATTTCGTTGACAAATTTAAGAAATTGCTGGGCAGTTTGAATCTCACCAAGGATCTCCTCCGTTGGAAAGTCGGAATTAGGAAGTAGGTCAAACTTAAAAATTCACTTTTTCTTAGGAATCATTCTGGGTGCCATTCCCTAGTCAATCATCAGACACTGGCACTCGGTGAATTTCCCCATCATTGACGGCAATATTTCACGGAGTTACCGTCTCAGCAAAGGATATGACTTACAAATTACGTTGAAATGTCTTTCTCTATTCGCTATTTATATACCAGTCTGTCAACTCTGAGAGAGGTAAAATACTGTGGATTCTCCACTGCTCTTGGTTATTCAGCATCCACCCACATTGCAATAGTAATTGTATGGTAATTCGGGTCATTCTCGGAAGAACTGTGATGTAATACGCAGTTTATAGCCCCTGGATCATTTTTCAACAGATCGGAACACACAGACACACTCTCGTTAATCCATCTCATGCATCAGTTGGCCGTCCCTCGATACTAGATGATACACGTATCCGACATCCTGACACAGTCTCCTGGCGAGGTAAGCCTGTAATATGAGCTTCTTTCCCCCTCCCTACAGGTGCAGCAGCAGTTCTTCCATTCCGAGTGCTCTATCCAGGCCATCAGATTATCACCACGCCTCGAGTACAAGAAAATTGGTCAAACTATCAATTACGAGCTTAAGGGTGTATCCCCAAGATATTACATACATCTGCGTTTCCGCTTCCAACAAACCGTCCGAAACAAGACATGGAGAGGTCACCTATGTTACCAAAGGCAAGATGAGTACCAGGAGAACAGTAATCTTAAAAATATATTCAGCAGTACCTGCAAAGCATATCACTTCAACTTCGATCCCAATGGAGTAGAAAGGCGCCTAACGCTCGCAGGTTCTTCATGCTTCAAACTCAGTCCTCCCAATAGCTCGCAATCTCGCGCAAGTCCCCAAGCAAAGCCGAAGGATTATCCAGACCAGGAAAATGGCCGCCGAACTCATGATCTGCAAGATACAGTAACCCAATCAGCCACTATTGCATGGATTGCGTATGAGGAAAAGTCAGAGATAGACAAAAACAAAAGACCTACTCTGATACCGCACCAGATTGCCCACCTTCGCAACCATGGCCGGCGGCCAGAACGCGACATTGTACTTGAACGCACTGAATAACAGTGGCGCGTTTGTGTTAGCCTTCGTGTAGACTGTGTAGGGGGCATTCGGGTTCTGTGCGTAGATGAGCACGGAAGAGGCGAACGTTTCTGTTAGGTAGTAGAGGGAGACGCTGCGGAGGATTTCGTTGTTGGTTAGGACAGATGGGGCGTGGCCAGCGTTGGGGTCGGACCCTATCAATAGGTGTAGGTTAAAAAGTGGTCTTGCTAAGTTGTCCTTTTAAGGTGTCGTCGAGCTTACAGTTGAGGAACTTCTCTCCAATCCATGCGAGCTGTCCCACGGGATTGTCGTGGAGTGCGAGGCCGATTGTATTGGGCTGTTGTTGGCAAGATTAGCACAGTCCTGACTCCAGTTGGTGAGTATCTTCAATGGTAAATGCCTACCTTTGTAGCCTGCTCAACCCAATACCCCGACCCGGAGCTGCTCCACTCTTCTGTGATGGCCAGCTCGAATTCCTCCAGCGGCGAAAGAGTGATATTCTCCACAGCGAGCTGTTTGGCAGTCAAGGGTAAAAATGGCAAGAAGGTTAGATGCGCCGCGCGGAGAGTTGTGCTGAACTGGTTGTACATGGTGTACGCGATACCACCACCCCAATCTGTTCCAAAGGCGGCATACGTATTGTACCCAAGGACCTTTGTTAGGAGGGTATCGAACACGCGGGCTGTGTCGGACACGGTCCATTCCACTGGTGGTACGGACGAGAAAGCGTAACCTGGGAGTGACGGCACGATTACGTCGAATGAGACATTTTTACCCGCTGCTGTGGTGGCCTTCTCAGTGAGGTTGTTGATTATTGGGACGAACTCGAGGAATGAACCGGGCCAGCCGTGGAGGAGGAGGAGGGGGATAGCTTGAGCACCTGGAGCCTTGCTCTTTTGGTGGATGAAGTGGATTTCCAGACCTTCGATCTGGGCCGTGTAGTGGTTGAATCTGAGGGGCACTTTGGTTAACACATGTCACTATATCAGAGGCTTTATGTTTGTAATGTCCTACTTATTCAGCTCGTCTTGTTCGTGCTCCCAGTCGAACCGAGTTAACCATTCCGTTTGGAGCGACTTCAGTTCGCTTAGACCGATTCCCTGCGCAGTGCCCTTGTTGACGTAGACAGGCTGCTTGGGAAGTTCAGTATGTTGTATTTGGTCCAGCATCCGCGGTACCCTCGACGAGAGGTCAATATGGAAAGGATGCAGCTTATATTCATCCTTTTCGCGCAGTGGATTTCCGTGACCAGCCCGGAACAGGCAGTCCATGGCAAGTAGTGTCCGCCAGCTAACCCTCATACTGGTAAATGAAATCAATTGCGTGGCCTCAGCGATTTTTGATGGAAATCCCAATGACCTGCGTGGCGTAGCCCTATAAATGTTCCTCATGCATTTCTGAGGAATTAGGTATTTGTCAGTTTTGTCACCTTGGATATGCATTGAGGATCCGCGGCTTATAAATCCATATTAACTTTGCGGTCGGTTTGATTATTATTCAACCCGAGAGGTCTGAAATGATGATGAGTAAATTATTCGTAAATTCCACAATAATTAACGTAATCCACTACCGAGCGGTCAACTACCACCGAGCGGTCAACCATCCCCACTACCACATTTTCAAAAGCAGATAAAACCACCAAAACACCATTAATTCAAAAAACTACTTATTAGGGCAACGGGTCATAATATGGCCAATCTGCCTGCATGCGCTACATGTAGGGGGTGCACGCTTCGCTGCATAAATAGGTGTTTGAACGTGATCAACCGGAGTAGGCGGGGGCTGTTCAACACGTTCAACTGGCTGCACTGGCTGCGCTGGTGGCGGTAGGCCCTCGCCGACCGTAACACCCTGTTCACAGCGAATAGGCGATTCGTTCGTGCTCGTTTTTGCCGTTTTTTCTCATGTAGTGCACGTAAATCAGCATTTTCCAGCGCTAGTAGCGCTGCGCTATGTGATGTGTGAAAGTGGCCCTTAACCAGTTGATCTAGGGCAATCTTCGTGCGAGTAGGGGGGCTTCTTGATTGATTTCTAAGAAGTCCATTGATATAAGAAGACGGTCTTTGTAGTTGTTTGATAGTTTTAGGTGTTTTTGGGCCGAATAAGCTTGATCGGCTGGTAGGGCGGCTGGGTGGTGGTGTGGGTGTTCGGAGTGATATATTGAGTTTTGATAAGACATGTTCCGGATCTAGTGGAACTAGACCTGCGGCTGAGAAACTGTTTTGAATGGTCTCTCGTTTAAATGTTTCCTGACGTGCCTGAGGTTATTCTGCTAGGAAATCTAGCTTGTCGATGTGATTATATCGTAGCCGAGCTTGATTGATAATCAGGCAACTACAGGCACGTTTAAGAACAGCGAAACAGCCAATATCCAGCAGTTGAAGAAGATGAGATGAATGTGCTGGCATGCAGAGTGGAATAATCGAGTTTTCAGCACATAGTCGATCAAATTGAGGAGTGAGATGGCTACCATGGCCATCAAGAATCAGAAGGCAATATTTCCCTTTCATCCGAACTTGTGAATATGGGATGAATAGGTTTTTTAACCATCTAATACTGATTTCATCTGAAGTCCAGCCATTAGGTGAGACTTCAATTCGCCAGTCGTTTGGAAGCCCTTCAAGCCAACTAGTGTTGTGGTTTTTGGCTTTAAAGATGATAGTTGGTGGTAGTGCGAAACCAGCGGCACTGATTGACTCGATTGTAGTCACCCACTCACGATTTCCAGGTTGTAGGACTGCCCTGCGACCATAAAACTCAGCTCGCGTAACCACCTTCTGTGCTGATATAAGGCCCATTGCGAATCCTGTCTCATCAAAGTTGTAGATATCCTCCGGTTGAATACCGTTTTCATCGATCACGCTTTGAACCTTCGTAAACCACCCTCGTAGTGATTTTGGGTCTTCGTTTAACGCACGTTGATAATTGTACAGTCTCGAGAAGCGTGTGCGAAGCTCATCGCGACGCTTGACAAAGGTTGATGCCCAATTAACACCAACGGTTAATGGGGGGTTTGATCCTCGCGCTGCAAGAAGAATATTGGCCATTTCTCCTACGGTAGAGGGCCTAGGCGCTGCACCACGCGAATCCTCTTCTAATTGGGTCAATTTATGACTATTTGCGCGTATATCCACGCAGGATATGAGACCCTTAGCGCGGTCGCGTAGGGTTGAACGGGGTACGCCAAATTGCTTAGCAGCTGCGAAAATTGATTTAATCTGACCATTTTGGACAGCCTGGAGGGCTAATAAGATCTTGCCCTCCTGCTCGATTGATTTTTGACGAGATTCAGTGCGCTTTGGTGGCATGGTAGGTGGCTGAAAAAGGTAGGTAGCTAGCGTGACGCGTTTTTGGGGTAGGGTGGCGGGCCGCCCGTGTTGGCGGTCCGCCCGTGAATTACGTTTAGACTGTTGATTTATAAGTGATGCTTCAGTGTTCATGTTGTTTAGGGGAGTTGATTGTGTAAGATACAGGTAGACTGGTGAACAGATATATAGGCATGCACGTGATCCCAGCCCCCATGATTATCCCAGTAACCGTGATATTTCAACATAGACCTCGCCACGACCCTGATATTGGGTCCCTCCTACCGACTCGCGACCCGGACCTGGACGGTTCCGGTTCCGAGCCTTACGACCCGGACCGACCCTCAGGGTCATAAAATCTCGTCAGGGTCACCCTGACTACGACCCTGACTACCCTGAATTGCATAATTCTTTTACGCCTTTCCTGATTAGGATGAATAAATTCGCTGACATATCATTATATATTACTGTTTCTTATACCTGTTCTGTATGTCTAACTATGATTCCATCAATTTTCATTCACCCCCTATGTAATTCTTTGAATTAAGTCTTTTGAATACGTCTTCTGGTTTTGTAATACTAAACTTGCCCTTTTTTCTATCTAAGAGGAATTGTTGTGGTGTGTTTTATAGAAAGTTGGTGAAATTGATGTGTAAGGATGCGGAAATATATTTCGAATGTATGAGATAGTTGCACTACATTCCGCAAAACTTAAACACCATCCTAACTCCTGCGGTGATGGTCTTGAAAACCTAGTCAGTGACCTAGGAAACGACCGTGGCTATCGCAATGAAAAGGAAATCCTATGGGAATCCTATCCTATGCCATAATATTCGGGTGGGATTCGGGATAGGAAATTCCCTCCCACGGTCAGTCTGACTACCCTGAGGGTCACCCAATTAGCTTGAGGATTTGAATAAAAAGCGGGGTTTAGATGTGATCTATCAAGCAAAAAATCAGATAATGCAGAATCAGCATGTACCTCTACCCCTTGTTGTGATATGTCGTATCGTAACGGAATCAATTCCTGACCTCACGGAATTACCAGCTTTGATTGGAAATCAATCTGGAGGTCGCACGTGTATATAAACCCTCAAGTTTTCTGTCCAGAAGGAAAACAAGCAATCTTCCTTTGAATTACAACACCCCTAAGTCCTTTCGCCTAACACCAAAGAAAAATCTCAGTAAGTCCTTCCTTCTTATACACAGCTTCATCATGTCTCAGTCATCTGATATATTCCTCTCCTCTATACATGATGCGCCACCTTCGGATTTCCTTGAATACGTTGCTAATTCTACACCACCTCAGCCTTTCTCCCCCGTCCCCTCCGGAAGCCAACAGACCGTCTACGAGCCTCTGAGAGCCCCCGAATGCCTTAAACGCGTTTGCCCGGACCGGATCAGAACATACATTCTATATACTCCAGAAATGAGTGATGAATTTGTGACTTGGTGGCTTCAGACCGACTTTGGGAGGAAGAAACGGATGGCTTGGGATGGGAAACGCGCAAAGTGCTGGGAATACTTTGACCAGGTCGCCTTAGACAGAAATGGGAAACCAGGAGTTATGTGCCAGCAATGTCAGAAGGTTCTTGATCACCCTGGTTGGGCTCATAGCGGAACAACTTCAATAAACAAGCACTATAATGGGGTGACTTGTCGGAAAGCTGCCCTAGCCAAAAGGCAGAAGCCAAATATCAAGCTGGCATTAGAGCATGCTGTATGTTCAGCACCCTATTATCGGCTCTATTTACTAACTTACTTCTACGCCTAGGCTCAGAATTCACCCGTACGAACATTCGATACGCATATTTGGCAGCAGAAGCTTGCGAAGCTTCTTACTGTGTCACATCTTCCGTTCCTTTTCCTTGAACACCCTGAGTTCCGTGATCTTATCTCTTACGCCCGGCTTGCACCATCAATGCCAGATATCCCATCCGCTAAAGCTATGCGCCGGCAGCTTCGAGAGCTAGTCCGTGAGAACCAAAAGATTACCCTTCAGACACTTCCTTCTGGTGCTAAGCTATCACTTGCCCTTGATTGCTGGACATCTCCATTTAAACAGGCTTTTATGGCTATCACTGGGTACTTCATTGACAAAGACTGGGAGTACCGTGAGATATTACTTGGATTTCAGCCCTTACATGGAGCTCATTCTGGTGCAAATCTGAGTGAGGTGGTTTTCGACTTGCTACAAGAGCATCAGATCACGAATCGAGTGCTTTCGGTGACTACCGACAACGCTTCAAACAACAAAATTCTTATGGAGAGTGTCAACGAGGCGATTGAAGGTCTACAATCCTCGAGCGACGTCGCTATCATTCGGGTACCATGTATTGCACATGTGATCCAGATTAGCCTAAAAAGTCTTCTTGGGAAGATGAAGGCTATTCCAAAAAATGACAGGGCTGAGCAAACATGGTCTGATGATCGGGTAGAAGCTCTGCGGGCGACGCAGCAGGAAAGAGGGATTGTTGACACTCTAAGCAAGGTAAGACGTCTTACTTAATTCCGATTCATAACCTGATTTGTTCCTTAGGTCCGAAACCTTGCGATTTATATTAATGCAAGCTCTCAGCGCCAGGAGTCATTCTACAACCTGCAGGCAAGAGAGAAAAAGCTAGTTCCAATCCAGGACGTTACTCCTCGATGATACTCTACATTCTTAATGCTCGCACGCGCGAAGAAGCTCCGGCAGGCCTTCGATGCTTTCTCCTCCCAGTATGACCAAGGGCACTTTTCCTTAAGCCAGGAGCAGTGGCGGCAGGTTGATTATCTCCTTTGTATTCTTGAGCCTTTTCGCCGATTCACAACGCTTTTGTGCAAAACAAAGAATGTCACTATCCATCGGGTTTTCAAGGTCTACAACAAGCTATTTGATCATCTTGAAAAGTCGATTAACCAGCTTCGACGGAAGAAGGTTGCTTGGAAGCAGGTGATGCTTATATCCCTCGAAGCAGCAAAAC